TTATATTTTTTCCTCTGAGAAGTGTATATTCATCTGAGATACCCATTTTTGGATTGGGTCTTTGAATTGGGAGCCCTGATTTTTTCTCATTCTTTATATATTCTATATAGGACCTTTGTGGGAAGGACAGTAGGCTATAATTTTTTCCAGTTTATGTAGTTTCTTTCTACTTGGTGGGAGATTTCCTTTGAAGGGCAGAAAATTTTCAAAAGATAAGATCCCAGTTGTTGGTTGAAGTATTTCCTGTGTGTTTTGCTTTTTGTTCATGAACTCCCAAACTATGCCTGTGCTTTTAAGACTTAATACATACATTTTCCTCCAGAAGATTTAGTGTTTCTGTCTTAATATTTAAATCTTAGATCATTTTGACTGTGGCTTTGTGCATGGTGATAGGAATAGGTCTAGTTTTAGTTTTCAGCATGTGGAAAGCCAGTTTTTCCATGAACATTTATTAAAGAGGCTATCTTTCTTCCAGTGGGCAAATTTGACCCCTCTATTAAAGATAAGGTGGCTGAGTGTATCTTCATCTTCTAATCTGTTCTATTGATCCTCAGTTCTGTCTCTATGCCAGTACCATGCTGATTTTATCATAGTAGCTTTATAATATAATTTCATGTCAGAGATTGTGATACCTCCTGCTGTTCCTTTGTCTCCCAATTGCTTTTGATATTCTAAGTCTCTTTGGGTTCCAAGTAAATTTGAGGAAAGTTTTCTGTAGCTCTGTAAGGTATACTAATGATATTTTAATCAAGATTCATATGGAGTATGGCCATTTTCACAAGGTTGGTTCTTCCTATCCTGGAACACTTCTCTGCAATCTCTATTCTCTGAATATCATAATTTTCACTGAATAAGTCTTTAATATCCTTTGTGAGATTGATTCCTAAGTATTTCTTTTTTGGGGGGACATTATAGTGAAAGACATGGCTTCCCTAATTTCTTTCTCAGTGTGTTCATTGTGTACAAAAATGCTGCTGATTTTTCGGTGCTGACTTTGTATCCTGCTACATTGCTGAATTTGATGATTAAAGATACAAGACTCTTGGTGGAGTATTTGTGGTCCTCTATATAGAGTATCATGTCATCTGCAAATAATGATAATTTTACTTCTTTGCAGTCTTTATTCCTTTTATTTCTGTCTCTTGTCTAATTGCCCTGACTAATGTTTCCAGAACTATATTTAATAGGATTGAATACAGTGGACATCCTTGTCTTATTCCTGATTTTAAATTGAAGGCCTTCAGTCTTTTCGATTTAGTAGGCTGTTGGCTCTTGGTTTCTCATAGACAGCTTTATTAAGTTGCAATATAGACCATCTATTCCAATTACCTGTAGGGTTTTTAATCATAAATGAGTGTTGGAGTTTGTCAAAAGCTTTTTCTGCATCTATTGAGATGATCATGTGGTTTTTGTTCTTGGGTCTAAATGATGTGGTATATTACATTTACGGATTTTTGTATGTTGAGCCATCCCCGCATTTCTGAAATGAATCTCACTTGGTGATGATGTATAATTTTCTTGATGATTTGCTGCACTCTGTTTGCTAGTATTTTATTGAAGATTTTTTGCATCAAAATTCATTAGAGAGATCGGCTTATAGTTCACTTTTTTAGTTGGATTCTTCTCTGGTTTGGGAATCAGAATAATAATTGCATCCAGCAATGAGTTTGGGCTAATTGCTTCCCGTTCAATTTCATGGAAGGGTTTAAGACAAGTTGGCCTTAAATCTTGTCTAGATTTCTTGTAGAATTCTACTATGAATCCATCAGGTCCTGGGCTTTTCTTTGTTAGTAGGTTTTTTTTTATTAATTTTCAATTTTGTTTCTCATTATTGGGTTACTCAGAGTTTTTATATCTTCTTGACTCAGCTTTGGCATTTCATATGTATCTGGGAAACTGTCCATTTCCTCTGTGTTTTCCATCCTTTTGATACTAAAGATTTGGGAGTAGGTATTGATGATCTGAATTTCTCCAATGTCTACAGTTCTTTTGTCCTTTTCTCTCTTTATTGCATGAATTTGAGTTTTTTCTTTCCTTTTTTGACTAGGTTGGCTAAGGGTTTATCAATTTTATTTATTCTTTCAAAGAACCAATGAGAGTGGTTCTTTGATTTGTTTATTTTTTGCATTGTTTTCTTTGTCTCCAATGCATTAATTTCTGCTCTCATCTTGAGTTGGCCTATTTTGGAGAAAGTGGAATTTTTTATCAATTATATTATTTATAAATTTTTTCATAAGTAATTATTCAATAATTTCTTCATGCTGAGAACAGAAGATTTGGTGGCAAGTTAGACATAGGTTTTAATCTTATGAATCTCCTAATGTAGCAAAGGGAAAAAAAAAGAAAACGTAGTATGCTAATTTAAATGTTATCAAGGACACTAGAATGCCATATATAAATGGAGCTCTACTTATTCAAGGAGTGATGAAGTTTTTTCAAATAAAATTACTTGAAATTTAAATGTGAACATACTATGTGAACTAGACTGAAGAAATCAGATAGATGAAGTTGGCATATGAAAGTATAAAGCATCTCTCTCAGGAGCTAGAGCTAAGAGTTGCAGAAATATGGCATATGCATTGAAGGAGAAAGATTTCTCTGCGATTGCAGCTTAGAAAGTGATAAAGCTGGGCAATAGTGGAAATTTTTAAACAGTGAAGAATCATAAAATTTGCCCTGCAGAAAGATATTGTGAATGAGACTCTGGTAAAGTGAGATAATGGAGGAGAATTGCAAGAAACTTGGATACAGAGTTATATTAGGAGTTTCTTATAATAATCTACATAAGAGATCACTCTGATCTGATGAAAGCAGTTATAGATTTCATATAATGAAAAAAGAGGCTAATATGCATGAAATTGACCATATGTAAGTATGAACTACATGAAGGTAAGGGGAAATTGGTTTATGACCCTAAGTGGATGATGTGAAGGAATGGGAAACATGAAGTTTTATCACAAAATACAGTAAAAATTTAAATTTTTTAAATCATTACAATAAAATATGTATTTCCCTTAGCTTCCTAAAAGTATTGTCCCTCATTTTGAATGCACTTATCCTAAACTTCTTGTTACTTTCCAAAGTAGTTCTGGAAGTTTCCTTCCAGAAGCATCTTCAATTTGTATTGTCATGGCTGCCTGAATCAGTTCAAAACATTTGCGTTTTTGACCTTTTTGACTTTGGAGTAGGGCCAGAAGTTGCTTAGTGTGAGATCCAGAGAAACACATGGACAGGGACACACCATAATGTTTGTATGGGCCCATCTTTCCATTGCTTAGAAACTGGCAGCAGCAGGTACCACAGCTTAGATCACAACTCCTAATGACATTCATGAAACAAGACTTCCATAACTGCTTCAGGATATGGAAGGAACGAGGGAATAGGTGTATTCAATATAAGGGAGTGCTAACAACAATGTATCTTTTACTATGCATTTTACTTAATCACACACTAGTTTTTGATCACCTTATATACAGAAAATATTTGAAGTAAAGATGATGACCTCAAATATGACATGACTATTTTGGTGTGAAATTCAATGGAAACATTAACCACAGATTGGTCCACTAAAGCTTGGTGCTAAGAAAGGAGGATGGATGGATTTGAGTTATAAAAATCATCAATATATTGGTTATATTTGTGATAATTTTCCAGAAAAATATATTTAAGTGACAGATGAATAAGAATAAACTGAAAAAAACATACAGAGAAGCAAGTGTAGATATGTAAGAGAAAACTCAGCAGTGTAGGTGCCATTAAAATAAATTACAGATCAATTTTTATCATGGTGATTGTTGTAGAGAAGAGTAATATGGATTGAATAAAAGATGTTCACTAAACATAATATGTCAATTGGAAAAAAATTGTTTAAATGGAATGTCAAATAGAAGTGCATTTTAATGTAGTAAATGAGAAGAGGTGAGTAAGTGGCCAAGCATAGAAAACTTAATCGAAGCATTGATATGTGTAAAAAGAGATATTTCAGTAGTTGGAAGAATTTTGAAAACAAAAGCAGATTTTTCTTTTGGTGATGCCTTGTGATGGGATATAAATTTTCTTAATGTCAAAATTTAACTCATAAATTTTATTATTTTCCTTCTTTGTAATGCCATTTTCCTTTCAGATGCGAATAATATGCATAAATTATACCAGGGAAGTGCTTTGAGAAAAAAAATACCATGAAAGAGAAGCCAGGAGGATAGAGAAGAGAAGGGGAGGGAAAACTAGAAAACAGTAAAACAAAATATCATATTATATGTCTAAATAGTTAAGAATTATTGATCAATCTAAGTTTTTAAAATATATACATCCCTTTTGTTTGACAAATATACTCTGGAAACCACTTGGAAGACTACACTTGAATTTAAAATCCATAAACATTTCCTAATTCAATATAGCCTATTCCTTCTTTCTTCCCATTCATTGTTTATCTACACACTGTGAGAGGCCTCTGTGATAACTGAGACTTTCCAGTCTGCAAAAGTAAGCCCTGCCCACACGTGGAACCAAATGCATAACTACCAAGGAGTGAGTGTTCTCCTGGTGGATGTACTCGGGAAAGAGGCCTATGGAACCCTTGGGAAGAAAAAACCATTTGTATAGGGAATTTGTCTAGAAGGGGTGAGGATGAGTTCCAAAGAAAAAAATCTTGAGTCTGTTGAACAATCCCAACACTATAGAAGGCAAATAGATAAAAGCAACACAAACTGAAATCTGTAATAGAAATCCTACTTAAATCTTAGGTGTGAGTACTTAGACCTAAGTATTTCAGCCTTATTTCAACAAGAATTAAGCTTATCTTTCATAGTTATGAAATTAGAGTTAATTTATATGAATTAACACTAATTCTGAGTGCTGGGGTATATTAGAGAAAATTCATATCTTTTCTGTTAATATTTATAGTTATGCTTTAATACCAAGTAGAATATTTCCACCATTGATATTATCTGCCTTTTTACTTTTTGTTTATATTTTTATTTTTATTTTTATTTTTTTGGTAGATGGACTGGATGCTTTTACCAAATTTCTTAAAACCGAATTCAGTGAGGAAAATATTGAATTTTGGATAGCCTGCGAAGAATTCAAGAAAAGCAAGGAACCTCAACAAATTATCCTTAAAGCAAAAGCAATATATGAGAAATTTATACAGACTGATGCTCCACAAGAGGTATAGTAAAGATGATTAGAAAAATTTATAACTACCTGAAAAAAATTTGAGAGAAGCAGCCTTCATCAAATTGGTCCTCCCACATGGTCTACCATAAAGTATAAGACTTTGTTGATGCAAAAATATTATTTATATAGATTTATATAGAAAACATGATATGTTACAAGATATCACAGGGGAAGCAAATGTACAATTGAAGTCACTCCTTAGAGTTATTTTCATCTACACTGAGTGAATACAAACAATAGCACTGCATGTTAACCACCTCTACAAAAGCAACTTCTCATTGAAACTGAGTATTTCTGTAAGTGATGAAGCCAAGAGACATTAAGGCATGGTTAACATGTGCCATTTTAATATTGAGTTGTCTCATTTTATTATTATTTTTCTAATCAAGACAGTATTTACCTCACTGGGTTCTCTCAATTGCACATCTCAGGTGAGTCCAAGGACACATGTCTTTCTCTCTTGGTGGGAGACTGTAAAATGGCAAGAAACTCCCCTATCCTTCCCCACCACCTTCAGTCCTAGGATCCTCCCCACTCCTGGAGTACGTTTCTTCCAAGGGAATTTCTTTCCCCTTCCCCTTTGGCTGTGGTGTCCCAGGGGCTCCCTCCTGAGCCTCAGGTGTTCCCTCCTCCCATTGTTGTTCCCTCCTCCTTGGGATCACCTTTCTCCTGGAAGGCCTATCTATGAGGTCCCCCTGTCCAACACACCTACACTGCTGCTTTCCGGAGCCATCTGCTCTCTTCCCCCATCCACTTAGGTGTTCCCTCCCTGCCTATCTGTGAATGTGGGCCAAGACTTCCCTGGTGTCTCCTGAAAAGAAATGAGGGAAGTGGTCTCATTTTAGCATTTTGTTGTCCATCTATGCAAATTTTTTATACCAAGAGTGATTTCTCTGATGTAGCATAGAGTAAAAGAAAATTTCATGGCAGAGAAATAACGGAAACTAAGCAATGTTTCAAGTGAAGAAACAATTGCAGTATCTTGTTTTGATTATGAGTTTCATTTAGGGGGTAAAACTATCAAACTTTAAAGTTTTGTTTGCCTGTAAATTAATACTGTCTGTATTAGCTTTCTATAACAACTGCCTGAGACAAATCAGCCTACAGAAGGAAAGGACTAAACAGCCTACAGTGTTTAGTCCATGAGCACTTTGTCCCTTTGCTTCAGGCTTGTGGAAAAATCAGTACAGCATAATGAAGGTCATGGCAGAAAACAACAACAACAAAAGCCACTTACCTCATAAGATGGAAGTAAAAAGGAAAGGAGAAGAAAGGGACAGGATCCCAAAGCCCTCTTTCAGGACATACCTACCCCTAAGATTTAAGCTCCTCCACTAGTTCCCTCCTAATGATTCTACCACCTTCCAACAGCACCCAGACTGGCAGTGATGCTCTTAACTAATGGGCCTATGGGGAACATTTATGATTTAAACTGTAATACTGTTGATAAAGTAGCATTATCTCTGTGGATGATCATGCCACCAGAAATGATGGTCATTATTCTTGTTCTGTATGTCTCAAGCTGTTTCTTTTCACTGTAGTATTCCCTCTTCCCCAGTGCCAATCTTATACATTATCTTTAGAAAAAGCAGCTAGCTGTATTGTGCTGCCCAGAGAAAACAAAGAATCCTACCTGGAAATAATGAGAAACCAGCTGCATCAGCAGTACTAGGATTAAACACATTTTAAAAAAATGTGTTGCCTTTTGAAGACATTTATATATTAGCATATATTTGCATGTAGAAAGGCATCATGACATAATCAAATGAATGCTGGGATTAAGCAATGCCTTATCATGAAATCCACAATATACCCCACATTCACTATTTTCCATAATTCAAATAATTTAACATTAAATTCAGTCCTCTACGTTGAAAATGAATGGGCTAACCTAACAGTCTGTATGACACACACCATTGCTACATTCAGCTGTTGTGAGAGTGGGAAAGGACCAGGAAGGAGCACAGACAGAAACAAGCCAAATGAACTGTCAACCCAGAATAAATCACCGGATCCCTGGACCCCAGGAAAAAAAAATACAACACAGCCACCCAAGCATACTCTGTCTAAAACACAACATGGTATCCATCCTGAACTGTGTTCTCAAAGGTGACTACTTAAATAGATTAACTGTATGTTTGTCTCTGTCTGTACAGGTGAATCTTGATTTTCACACCAAAGAAGTCATTGCTAAGAGCATCACCCGTCCCACACTTCACAGTTTCGATGCTGCACAAAGCAGAGTGTATCAGCTCATGGAACAAGACAGTTACACCCGTTTTCTGAAATCTGACATCTATTTAGACTTGATAGAAGGAAGACCTAAGAGACCAACAAATCTTAGGAGACGGTCGCGCTCATTTACCTATAATGAATTCCAAGATGTAAAATCAGATGTTGCCATTTGGTTATAAGTAAAGTTGATTTTGCTCATTTGGATGGTAAACTTGTACATCTTCTGTGATGTAGCACGTTTATGTTAAGAAATGATTACATTTTTAAAAGTGAAATATAACATACAAAATGATTTAAAAATGTAAATACAAGCTTTTATATAAGAAATATATACTGTATCTTCCAATATATTCTATAATTTAAAATTTTTCCATTTGCTATCTTCCCAGTTATAATCACAAATCACATTTCTTAGTTAAAAGGCAGTAAGCCTTACAATTGAATGTTTTATAAGATTGTAAAGATTACGTTTTTGCAAAACTGCCATAATTGTGACCCAGTGTCTAGTAAGCATAACTTTTGCTGGATGTAAACAACAGTACTTAGATATCCTTATGTTACAACAGCATTCCCCATTATGATGAATACTCTCTTTCTTTTGATAGTAATGTAAATATGATCCAGTTCTTATTAAGGGAAAGGATGAACATTGGAACTAATCCTGCTTAAGGATACAAACACATCAATTTTACAATTAAGCTAGCAAAGGGAACTTTTATAAAGTCGCATATATCAATAGGGAATTTTCAGGTTAAACATAGGCTTTTGCTAAGTGAGCAAGAGCACATTCCTAAGTAAGTGTGGGCCTGGCCAGGCCCACGGAAGCTTCGCTTCTGATTACATAATCAGTTGGAGGGCGTCTGCAGGTTGACACTAAGCCAAGTGTGTCCTCACCTGCCAGGTGAAGTGGCTTTGGCAATGGCAGGCAAAACACTTCTGCCAGGAATAAACAGGTCTCATATATGTGCTTTTAAATTAGAGGAAGAGTTTAGAAATAAGAAGAAGTAAAGGAGAAAGGAATTTGAGGCCCTGGAAAGCCAGGCATCTGTCCCATTTGTTCATATTCACAACTTATCATTCAATTCATTATAATTCATAATTAATACTGTTACTCAACCAAAATTATACTACTAAGCATATATGTGTTTACAGTGCAGAAATATTTGATTTAAATCTATATTACACAGTCCGTAAATATCTGTATTTAAATGTACTACACATTTAGCTTTGGTAAATGTTATCCTTTAAATTGAAGTATCTTCTAAAATAATAAAGAATTTAAAATTTGTTATTCATATGTTTAAATTTATTTGACCAATACAGCCCTCTTCTAATGATTGATTATCCGTATTATCATCAATAAAAATAACCATTTTTATAGAATGATATTACAATAGTTTTAATTGAGGTACTATCACTTATTTTAATGTCAGCTTAATTTTTATACCTTCAGTAATATGAAAGAAAAGTATTGGGTCGGCCAAATAGCTCAGCGGATTAAAGTGCCTGCAAGCAGGCACAGGGGCAGGGGTTCAATCCCCAGGCCTGCCATGCCAGCCCCGCCTCTGGGGCACACTGAGATGGTAACTGAAACTGGGCATGGTGGTGTGCATCTGTAATCTCAGTACTTAGAAGGCTATAAACAGGTGGATCACTATGAGTTCAATCTAGTAGTGAGACCCTGAACACTGTGTAGACCCTTCCCTAAAATAAAAAAAAAAAAAAATTAAGT